ATGACTGCATCAGAGGAGGAAGGTATCTTCTCTCCTCGAGCCTGGTGCACTGGACTTCAAGGGTACCACTTGGATGGCATGCTGGATGGGCTCGGACTCGTGCCCAGAGCTGCCTAGAGGGTGGCTAGGCAAGAAGAGGGCTGTGCTTAGAAGTAACTACTCTCCTCTCAATCATGGATCCAAGGTGAACGTTTACGAGAGTGTACACTTCAGCCCACGGACATAAGAAACACCCTAGTTTGTCTAAGATCCTGCCTCATATGGTTCCCTGGAGGGGCAAGAAGCCCTCAGTGGAAACAGGCTGTGGTCATTAGCCTGAGGTCCCGTGGCTGGAAGTGGAAACAGACATGGGAGATGCATCAAAGAACAGCAGGTGAGAGATCCCCGGCATTAGTGAGGAGTGGGGAGATTTCCAAAGAGCCCAAAGGTAGACTGAAGAGAGAGTCAGCTTTGATTGCTTGCCAGGCCAAGGGATCAGTAGTTCCAGTTTATAACCATATCTGCCTCCTGCCTCTTCTGCTTCCTCCACACCGAGCCCTGGAGTGTTCAGAGGCTGAAATGCATGGGGTGGTGAGGACCGAGAAGGAGCTGACCACCGCCATCATTCCCACTGCAGCAGACCCAAGCCAGAGGAGGGGAGAAGCTACGGATGAAGCTTGGAGCTTAGATGATTACAGTGATCGGATCATATTTGTTATTGATCTGGGACTATCTGAGAGACTAAAATGATTGGATGACTTATTTGGTCTCTCAGCAGTCTTGGGATCTGCAAAGAGGACAGAGATAAAGAAGCTCTCCGGTTAAACCTCAATGGTCACTGGGGGAAACAAAGAGACCTGTTTTCCATAGCCAGTCCGCAACCCCAATTCCTGCTTGTTCAACCTAATAGTTACACCAGCACAGAGAGGACGGAGACATGAATGATGCACAAAGTTCACAAAGACAATGACTTTGGAACTGGGCCCTTAGGGAGGCTGGGGAATTACCAGGCAGAGAAAAAAGAAGGTGGAAAAGCATGTGTAAAGTGTAGCAGTGTGGAATTCTGTGCTGTGTTTGTGAGGCTGGAGCACAGTGGAGCAGGAGATGAGGATGAAAGTTAGGTGGGGCCTGGACCAAGGGGCCTCGGGTTACAGGCTAGGCCTCCATGGGAAGCCATCGGAGGTCTTGAGTACGGAGGGAGCATGATGTGATTTCTGTGAAGGAATGATGCTGGAGCATCTGTCAGTGGCATCCCTATGTATGGTCCTTGCCTCTTAACACCCTTGTCACAGGCAGTCCACTGCTGTGACACTTTTGATTTCTCTTTCTTTAGCATCTCATCGTTATTATACTATATCACCTCCCACAGAGGCTACTGCAAATGCCTCCTGCCTCCATAAGGAAACCATGTCAATACTCCCATCCCCTTAAGTTCCCCTGAGGTCAGCACTCAACACCTGTGATGGTCCAGTAACCAGGACCATGAAAACAAAATCAGCTGGAAGAGTGTGGAGGAGAAGAAAGAGGCCAGTGCTTGGGCTGAACTTACTAAATTCTAATGTATTAAAAAAAAAATCAGTCATCTGGAGGAAGGAACATGCAATACAAATGGAATAAAGCTGGAGCAAGGTCAAGAAACAGAAAAAAACCAAGAATCTTTTAACCTATAGTCAGAGGCTGACAGGGAAGAAAACAGGTAGATAATTTAATAAATGGATGTTGGGAAGAAACACGGAACAAACAGAATCACACTGGTTTATATTTACGACCTGTAAGAGCAAAGCCATGTGGTGAATGAAATCAAGATCAAGTCTCATTCCTCTATGTGAGTCCTGGCTCTCCCATGGGTGAGAAGGATATTTTGGATAAGTTACTCAACACCTCTATGTCTGCTTTCCACATCTGTAAAATGGGGCTAATATAGCACCTGCTTCATAGGTTTATAATATATAATTATACATAATCCTGTGTATATGCGTGTCTGTGTGTGCATATGTGTGTCCGTGCGTGTGTGTGTGTGTATCTGTGTGTGTATGCATGCATGCACCTGGAATATTAAGTGTTCAATAAAAAGTAGCCCTTATTACTTACACTAAGAGTATTCTGTCTGTGCTTGGACATTTTTTTCCGCAACTAAGCTCTATTTTGTAATTAAGCATACTTTCTCAATTGCTGTTAGACTCACTCTGATTTGGTTAAGATAGAAACATCTTGGAGACTTTTACTGAATAGAGGAAAGGTAATACATAGGTAGAGCAAGCAAATAAACAATAATCCTCAAAACTAAAAGTCCAAAATAAAGCAATGTTTAAAACATGCCCTGTGACCAAAAGGAACATGGAGATACGCTTATGCTTTTTAATTGGTTATATTTAGTTTTTGTTTCAGATGCCACAAATTGAAGGAGAAATATTTAATGAAGAGGTTGCATACAGTTTAAATAAACAATTTTTATTGCTAGAACTCCAAATCACTTGGCAAAAGCAACTTTTTAATGCTCAGATATTTGAGCCAGAAAGCAAAAGGGTGGTCATGCAAATGATAATTCTTAGATTCCATTATTGTGAAATTTTAAAAAGAATTTTCAAAACGAAACATTGGAGAAAAATTTCTACCTGATAGCTGTCAAAGAGCATGATATATGTCATTGCTACAGTGTTTTTTTTCCCCCATAGGTCACGAGGCAAATCTCAAATGTATGATTGGTAAGTTTCGAAGTAAAATGATGGACCACAAAGCAAAATTATTAACCCACACAAAGTTGTAATTTAATTGAACATCACTGCTGAAGCAATACCACATTTCATGCATTTTTATCATGGGTGGTACTAAAGTACAATCCATTCAGAATCTGAATGGCTATTTAGATTAGTATAACAGATTGTAAAACAAGGCATAAAAATTGCATTTATATAGTAAAGGGTACTGAGTCCAAATGATAAGTGATCATATCATGGGAAAAGGATGTGAACCCCAGGCTCTGAGGTCCCCACGTGTTTCCTGGGTCTTCATGTCTTCTTGCCGATGTTGAACAACATCAACATCAAGTGGTAGTGGGATAGGACGTGGGATATCCTCACAAAGGTTCTTCTCTATGCCCATATGAAAGGAATCCATGGACTCTCTTTCAAGGGACCAAGGTTCTAGAGTCTTTGTCAGGACGAATTTCCATAAGGTTTACTGGGTGTTGTCTCACACTGAGCAAGGATGATTCCTGTTCCTAATGCCAATCGGTGTGATTTCATCAATCCCAAGTAAATTGTCTAGCGCTCAGTTTGTTAAACAAGAAGTTATTGTGTCAGGGGAGTTCCTGTGTTGAAGGGTATAAATAATTTGGAGTCATTTTTTTAAATTCGAAAACATTATTAAAAGGAGGTGAGCATCTTAGATGTTTATGTTTTACTTGCTGCTGCTCTTGGGTTCTCACCTCCTTTGTGCAGCATATGGTACCAGTGAGTCACATTTTAAAAATTCTCTAAGCTGTATTTGCACTTTATTTTCATACATTGGAAACTTGAGAGGGTCCAGTTGAGGGTCTAATGACATCCTTTATATTGCCTCAGCACAACTTCTTCTTCCACACATTCTTTGGGCAGGCAAGCTATGACTTCAATGTCCATTCAAAAGGTTGATAATTGCCAAACTTCCTCTGAGTTCCTGATTGCTTTATCTAACCTCCCACCAAATATTTCTCCTCACTTGTCCCCAGGATTATCAAGATCAACATGTCCACCATCATTATGGTGGATAACCGTTAATAATACCATATTGCATATTTGAAAGTTGCTGATAGATCCTGAAAGTTCTCATCACAAGAAGAAAATTTTGTAAACACGTGAGGTGGTGGATATTAACAAAACTTACTGGGATGATCATTTTGCAATATATGCAAATATTAAATCATTACATGGCACACCTGAAGCTAACATTAATATTATACATCAAGTATACCTCAATTAAAGAAAAGATCAACATGGCCGGAGTGAATTCATCAACTTCTGTGAACCTGTTTCTCCTTCTATGTTTGTTTCCATAAATGGCACTGCCATCCACCCCGCTGCCCAAATCCTGTGTTCACCACCTGCTATTCCCTCATCATCTCAATCAGTCCTGAATCTTCTCTATTCCCTCTCCTAAAAATCTCTGAAGTCCATCCACATTCTCCCCTAAGTCTGGCCAACGTGGTTTTCCACTGGATTTCTGTTACCAGCCTCCTATGTGGCTCCCCTACCTGCACTTTCTCCCTTCCATCCCATTTTCCATCCTCAAAGGTATATTTAAAAAATAAAATCTTATGGTCAGACTTATTTGGAGCAATTCAATGACTCCCTATCACCTTCAGGATAAAATTCAAACTCCATAGCAACTTGCAAGATCCTCAAGGTTTTGTCACCGGCCATATCTCCACATTTAACTATCACAAGTCTCAACTCAAAATCTGTTAGACAATAGACTGAACATTGAACATTGTCTAAGACCTTGCTCTGTGCTCTTGCCGTCCAGGCCTTATGTATATGATTTCTGATTCTAGAAACACTACTCCTCCCATCTGGCCAACTCCAAATTACCTTTTGGTCTCTGCTTAGATTCCCAATCTGGACCACCTTCCTAATCCCTTGAGACTGGATTCGGTATTGTATATTGTACTTCCAGAGCTCTAAACTTTCCCAGCAAATCATAGAAATTGTGTTGTTTTGTATTTGCATGTTGACATGTCTAACTACCCCCATGAAGTTGACAGCCATGTGAAGGGAAGAAACATATCTGTCTTTTTGTGGTTATACTCTCTAGGCTCAGTCCAGGACACAGCACAGTGGGTCCTCAAAGATAGTTACTAAATGGATGAATAAGTGAATGTTTTTTGTACCAATGACTTCCCATCCTTAAAAGAGAAGGTAACATAAATAAGAGTATTACTTATTCCTTTACTAGTGGATTTGGTAAGAATGGTTATCTTTGTCTGATCTGGTTGATTAAACTTTAGGCTTTAGAGGGAAGAAGAAATAAAAAAGAGTTCAAACCTTAACTGTAGCTCCTGGGAAAAAAAGCCAGTTGCCCGTGTCTACTGGATCAAGACTGTCTTCTAAAATGACTTGTCTGTGAGCTGAGTTGATGATCAGGATGTTATCTAAGGCCCAGCAGGCTTCATACACTTCGCCTACATGGAGACTTTCCTGCTTCCACTGAAACTGGACGTTCTCCCCTTTGGTGTCTTCAGGAAGGTAGAGGATGTGTATGATGGTGCTGACATTGGAAGGGGCCCTGGAATATACGGTAAGATGTGAATTGGTGCCACATAATAAATGAACAATGACGCTCAATGGTATCCATTTTTTCTTTCTTGTAGATCAATTTTGTTTTTTAATTAAGATTGTAGTTCCATTAGCTTAACATGGTATGTATCACAGATTAAATACTCATAATCCTACAGCCCTTAAATCTTTTACTACATGCTGATGATTAAGATGTTCCTATTAAGTGATGACAGTTTAAACATTAAACATCTTCGAGAGCTCTTCTCTTAACACAAAGCAGACACCGAGTATATTCAAGTAAGCCAGTAAAGGAATAATCAAAGAGAAAATGCACACATTTGATGGTGCTGCAAAAAAATCGAAGTGTCTGCAGCACAGTTTTTTGCATGTCGTAGACAACCGCAAAAAACTCAAATAATCTCACAGTTGATTTTATTTGATACTAAAAAGGAAAAAAGTAGAAAAACTATAAAACTGTCTTAATTTTGATTCTTTCCTTGAAATTTTGTATCTATGCTATTTCAAAATCTGTGTTTAATAATAATTATCTTATTTCTAGTAACCAGATACATTTTTGTTTTGTCTCTATCAGTGTGAGATTTGCCATGAAAATTAAATGCTCTATATAATTCTTTACAACTTGATGCAGATCAATCTTTAAAAGCTTGATATAATTTAACCTGATTTTTATAGTATATCTGTTAGAATCTAGGCCCTTCTGCTATGTGATAAAGTATTTTTATTAAATATTTTATTCTACCAAAGTAGAAACCTGCTATAGTAAAAATGATTGCTTTAGCCAAGATTAAAAGTGGTACTAAAATGCAAACTAGTATTACCCTGGGCGTACTATAAATCAGTTTTGAAAGGATTACAGAAAAGACATATTTTTCACTCACTAATGAAGCACATATATATCCAAAGAATTGTCAGTGTAGGTTATAGATGGTGTACCTTACCGTTGGGGGTAATCAATTGCCTTTTCTTTTAAAATATTGCACAATGACTATGTTTTTAGCTTCAAAAAAGAATGTAAACCAATGAAAACAGTGCATTTTAGTTTTAGGAAGTGACTGAAAATATGTTCACTCTGATCACTACTACTGGTAAGGAAAATTTGCATTAATGAGCATGACAGCTTGGAGCACGGCCTAAAATTGACAGTGTCATTTAGTGAAAAACCAAATGGAGTCAGCTGAATGTGATCTTCATATGTTGTAATTTAATGTGTACATTCACTATTTGTCATATCAAAAATGTGTAGCTGTTTTCCAGCAAGAAATGTCTACTACAATTTACCTAAACTATGATACATAACTACTGGATAGAGAAAAAATGGAGGTTAGGATAAAATTTTCAATATGCTGCCTTGTTTATAGCCATTTATATAAATAAGTATTTAATATGAATGCATTTTCATAATAACTACTAGAAATTAGGAAGAATAGCAAAATGCTGTTATAAAATTGACACAGCATGTCAGAGCTTGGCTTGTACCCAGTCCTTACAGATTATATGGTATCCTGCCTCAGAGAGAGACAGTCTATTAAAATCCATGAGTTAGGGGTGCCTGGGTGGCTCAGTCATGAAGTGTCTGCCTTCAGCTCAGGTCATGATCCCAGGGTCCTAGGATCCAGCCCCACATCAGGCTCCCTGCTCCACGGGGAGTCGGCTTCTTCCTCTCCCACTCCCCCTGCTTGTGCTCCCTCTCTCGCTATCTCTATCTGTCAAATAAATAAATAAAATCTTTAAAAAAAAATAAAATCCATGAGGTAGAATCACTTTTCTCAGTTTCTGGTTGGAGTAGACCTTGGACATGTGACAGTTTTTTAAATGTGAAATACGACTGGAAACTTTGGGCAGACTGATTTAGCTTTGAAGACTAAGAATTTAAAGACTAATATTTACTCTTCTTCCCTAAATAAATCGCAATTCTTTCAATAGGGAAATACGGTAAGGAAATTAGCATGTGAAGAAAGAAAACTGTACAAAACTGATGGAAAATGTTCTACTTGAGTTACACGAATTTAAGAACTAAACCAATCAGACTAACTACTTTATAAAGTCCAAGGCAGTTTTTTCTTTTAAATATCTTACCAGACCTAAAATTAGGCATCCATTTTGAATTGTTTTATGATTTAAACTCTGCAGAAGGAGTAAATATCATTTGAGTTTTGCTAATTTAACCACATTTTTCCAACTTGAGTGAGTTTCTTCTTTAAGCATCCTACCTCATTTCCTTGTTGAGGGATTTTTTTTTAAATAAAGAAAATATAATAAAATGACTACAAATTGCATCACAATTATGATAATAGAATTTTAGAACCTGCCTTTGGGAGGTTGGATGGGAAATGACAGAACTAAAGATTAGATGCAAAAGCCCCAGTGGCTATGAACTCATTACCATCCCAGACTGGAAGGAATTTACACAGTAATCTCGTATATTCCTAGGCCTCCGAGCCAGCCCATAGCCTGGCCACCTAGAGAGTGGAGTGATGTTATTTTGTGGAGGATTGCATCCTAAAAGTTATTCTCCCAAATATGCTTTTATCAAAAATGGTTTGTTACAGCTACTATGAACCGTGGGAGGTTCTGAACGGAAAAAATGACACTTTTAACAATACTTCTTCAAACAGGGCAGAGAGTAATGTGTGCAGGCATGTAATTCAGTATATTTTTTTTTTTTTGTAATTCAGTATAATTAACAACCAGAGTACTTTTGACCATGCAGAATAAAATCGGTGGTAGAATGAAGGCAAACGGGGAAGTAGAAATCCACTTACGTCAGGATTTATGAAACTACTTGAAATGATAACAAACCTAATTCTCTCCAACTGAATCCAGTCTCCGGTATTATTCTTGGCGTACGACACAATGATGCTGGGGTCTGAGTAACTAAAGCGACACGAACCTGAGCCTGTAAAGAGCAATCACAGTAAGTTTCAAAGTTAAAAAACAGTGTAATGCATATTATCCGTCCTCCTAAATGTGAGAAGATTTCGTAACGTTTTACATATTTATTTAATGGCCTCCCCATTCTTCCAACTATGCTGAAATTTCTTTGGTTTTGATTCGGTTCCTGGTTCTGAGAAATACTATTGGATAAATAACTTTAGGGATCAGGAAAAAGGCAAGAAAACTGCAGGTTTTTAGACAGATATATGAGTAAACTAAATTATAAAAGAAACATTTAGTTCTATGTGGAGAAATATCTAAATATTCTCGAATGATTAATAATGTCATTATGGGGATGCCTGGGTGGCTCAGTTGGTTAAGCGACTGCCTTCGGCTCAGGTCATGATCCTGGAGTCCCAGGATCGAGTCCCGCATTGGGCTCCCTGCTCAGCAGGGAGTCTGCCTCTCCCTCTGACCTTCTTCCCTCTCATGCTCTCTCTCTACCATTCTCTCTCTCTCTCAATAAATAAATAAAAATCTTTAAAAAAATAATGTCATTATGGTTCTTGCCAGTTAATATTATTTAGTAGCAATCGCATTAAATCGTATACAAGTCATTAAACGGAATGAGGACTAAAAGCACCATTCTTCTGTGTGTGTGTTATTTAAATGATTAGATGGCATGTAAGAAACTAAAATACTGCAAAGAAAATTCAAGTACTAAATGAATGAGAACTATTAGGTATGATTGATATTATTCTACTATAGTGCAACACGAAAGATTTAAAAGACATTATGTCCCGTTGTGAACATTTGGTGATTATTTCTCACTCTGATTTTCCATATTGTAAATATGACCAAAGAAAGTTTTAAAACTCTGACAAGGATTTGTTTCTACGCATTCAATGAATTCACATAATAAAACATAGCATGACTATCATTTCAAAGATCTCCTCAGAATACCCCGAACAGCCATGAAGCATATGCCAGAAGTAAGTGAATAGCAGGATTTTTTCATACTATATTAAAAACAAATGAACCAACAGAAGAAGAAATCGTGCAATTTATGTTTAACTTTCACCCATCTGCTAGAGGAGCCTCGGTTTCAGCAAATGGCATCTGTTGATGGTTTTTACATTTGTAGTTCTCAGGAGTTCCAAGCTTTAATAGACTCATTTATTTTATTTCAGTGGTGTTTAGTACAACACCAGTTAATCTGCAATCGCTAAAGCTGGCAACGTGCTCAAAAGCCAAAAGGCAGCTTTCCCAGACTTATTCTCACAGCCAAAATGTGGGTGCAAAAAGTATAAAAGAAAGGGTATTCGAAGGACAGCTCCCCAGCAACCCTACACTCAAACACAAACCCACCGTATGCCATTTTGATCATTGCTAAAGTTTACCTTTCATAAGCAGCTGCTTAAAATAAATATCAAGCTGTGAGGCTGGAACTGGAAGGGGCCAGGATTATGGGGGACAAACTTCAATACAAACAAGAAGGACTGGCAGACAATCTGTTTATTTCAAAACAAAGTTCAAATCAGCCTAAAGAATTTCAATGGTTTGTATGTGCCTCCTTCATGTTGTATACACCATAAGGTTTTTTTTTTTTTTAAAGATTTTATTTATTTATTTAACTGACAGAGAGAGAGAAACAGCAAGAGAAGGAACACAAGCAGGGGGAGTGGGAGAAGGAGAAGCAGGCTTCCCGCAGAGCAGGGAGCCCGACGCGGGGCTTGATCCTAGGACCCTGGAATCATGACCTGAGCCGAAGGCAGTAGCTTAACCAACTGAGCCACCCAGGTGCCCCTATACCATGAGCTCTTAAAAGCAAATGTTTAAGGTGAATCCCTGAAAAAGAAACAGGTAGAACAAATGGTGACCAAAAATGTTCCTTAGAGAATGCAATTCCTTGCAAATTGCTTACAAATTAAGAGAGGACAGCTGATAACCATCAGGAAAAAAAATGTGTCCAAATACGACCTTGATGACAAATATGACCTCTCTCCTATTTCCTTATGCTACCATCTTAATGGTGGGAAATTTAGTTTATTATGCACCCGTAAGACACAAAGGCACCTGGCAGGTGACTCACTTTTCCTCAGCCACTTAGCCATGAAATTCTTGCATATCTATAATATTAATAACTTTATGAATCCATCTTCTCCTCAGCGTTGTCAATAGACAGATCCTCATTAGCTCGGGCCAGGACTCTGCAAGAGTGATTAGTTAGCCTCCTTGTCTCCAGCCTCAGGCCTCCTTCTCTGGCCACATTGTTGCTAGTACTCTCGCTACAAGTAAACTGACTCATGTTACCTCCCTGCTTAGAATCCTTCAACAATTCCTCAGGACTTTCAGGAGAAAGCTGCACTTGCACCCGCAGTGGACAAAGGTGCACAGTTCCTAGAGACCAAATGTGTACCCCGCAAACAGAACTAGCCCAGGGTCATTGTAAAGGGTTTCCACATGAAAAGCTGGTCAAAAAGGGAAAGGGACTCCGACACAGAGATGGACAACTGGATACCAGGACCAGGGTGTGGGGTACGAGGGGCCAGTCCGAGGAGAAGTACCCACCACCCATGCCCCATGCCAAGAGAACTGAAGAGGGAAGGCCTGAGCTGGAAGAAGCACCCGCAAAAGAACCAGTCAGCTTTGGCTATCTGCCTCACTCTGAGGCCACCCCCAACAAACTCCCATTCCAAATGGTGCCAGTCCAATGAGTAAATGATTCCCCACTCCCACTCTGAAATGATTCTCACATATATTGGGTACAATTTTTCTTCACATAAACCCTTCTGGATTGCAACCCCACCGTCACCTAGACTTCAACCAGCAGAACAAGATTTTCCTTGCCCAGACTGACAATGGTTACTTGAGCCTGTGTGGGATGAGAAGAAAGAGTTAATCAGTGTTCCTGTGCCCAGGTGGCTAATGCCACCCCCAATTCCCCTTCCCTGTGGTGCCGAGCTGTCACAGACCTCAGAGCACCTCTCACGCAGTAAGGAGGCAGTAATAACCAGCTGCCACCTGCAACAGGTACCTCTTTCTTTCCCCTCTTAAATCAAAGATCTTTAATTGCCAACACTGAAATTTAAAACCAGAAAGATAAACCCAGATGTCAAATGCAAAGTACCCTCTTCTTGCAGATCCATTTTCTCCCCTTTTAGGTCCCTTCCAATGTCATCCTTCACTCTAAAGTAGCAAATTTGCAAGGATATAAAGAACTACTGAAGGAGGGAAGATAGTTCAGAATCATGAAGTGAAAACCCTGAAGTTTTGTATTCATAAATAAAATTGTGAAATTGCTGAAATTTTAGGATTTATTCCAGCAGTCTAAGAAATCTGGCTCTCATGTAGAGCTACACATAAAAGGTTACTGAGATACCTACAGTGTGGGGGAGGACAGGATATTTTGTGTTAAAGGAACTTCATTAATATTGTTTCCAGTTGGTCTTGGTTGTCAATTCTTGATTTTAAATTGACAAATAAATTGATAAATGATAAAGATAAACCTACAGTTATTTACAGTAGCCATCATTTACATTATTATTGGTTAATTAGTGAACCCCACAGTATACAAGGATGGATATTTTTACTAAAAACATTTCTAGTCTATTATTGTCTTATAGTTGGTTCTATGGTTTAAGAAATATATGCATTGCAATATAAATACAAGCCATCTTTACTCCTCTGCTCAAGCAGATACCTACATAATGCCCTGCAACTACCTTGCAACAGAACAAACCTTCACTAATGATGTCCTGAATTTGTGCCATTTTAATAGCTTGCTTTTTATTATCAAGTTACTATAAAAATACTGGATTATTTTTTTAATTTTTCAGAATTTTAACGTACAATCGTAAGTCTGAGTTCATTCTTATTAGGTTAAGAATGCAATACACACAGTTAAGAAAAACAGAAACACAGACATTAATACCCTCATCTCTCTGCCCACAAATCTACCTGTATCATATTCTCCATCCATCATACCAGTGTTTTCTGCTTGCCCCCTGTTGTAGCAGTTGAAATGTTTCTGTTCTAATCAATGTGAACTTCCTCATATGGTCTAGATCCCACCTCCTCTTGCTCCTTAAAACTTCCCCTTTCTTTTCCCTGAATCATCCATCTCTTCCCATGAGTTTCCTGGATCATTCCTGTCATCATACAAACATCACAGAAACATACAGAGCATCTCCCATCTTAAATACAAAACAAAACACCTTCTCGATGTCACCATCTTTCTTCTCCTTCGCATTCTATTTTTGTTCCCCTGTACAGCAAAACTCCCCAAAAGGGTTATTCAGTGATTGTTGAAACTTCACATCCTATTGTCTCCCTGCAACCTCGCCCCCACTCTCCGCACAGGCTCCTGCTCTCAAGGGCTACCCTGAAACTCACTGGGGGGTCCATGTTGCCAAATTAACAGGTCCCAAATTCAAGTTACTTGACTTCTCAGCAGGATTTGTCACAGTCGATCTCTGGCTTTCTCCCCTTGGCTTCCACCACCTTCTCGATTTTCCTCCCCCTTTACTGGCTGCTGATTCTCAATCTCCTTTATTTCCCATTTCCTTCTTGACCTCAAACTGTTTTAGTGCCTTTCTCTTCTCTTACCTACACCGCCTTCCATGATGATCTTTCCCACTTTCAAGGCTTTAAATAACATCTACAACAGATAACACCCAGGATTATACCTCCCGTGAGGTTCCACACTTGCAGATCCAAACTGCTATTTACCATCCTTAACAAACATCTCAAACCCACTATGTCAAAATTGGAAGTACTGGTTTTCCGCTTCCCCAATAGCTACTCGTCTTTTCATTTCAAATGAGACCACTCCACAGGCTCAAACAAACAAATGAACAAAAAACTCAGGAGTCATCGTTGGTTCCTCCCTTTGCCTCACGCCCCACTTCAGCCCATCAGACTGTGCTGGGAGCTCTGCCTCCAAATATTGTTTAGCATATGTCCCTCTTGACTGCTACCGCCTCAGGCAAGTCATGAGCGTGTCTTGGGTGGTTTTCTTGC